CAACATCCATCCATCCATCCATCCATCCATCCATCCATCCATCCATCCATCCATCCATCCATCCATCCATCCATTATCTTTACCTGCTCCAGTCATCACTGTGAGAGAGGCGGGGGACACCCTGGACCGGTCTCCATCACAGGAACAAAAAACCATTCACTCTCTCCCTCACACCTAGAGACAATTTAAACCTTGGGTTCTGAAACATTTTGGGTTCAGGGACCTCCTCATAACCCTCATGTTTATTAAATAATTTTCTTCAATTTGTCTCTTTAATGCAGTGCAGATATTTGTGTAACATAAATACTTAAGACCTGTTCTTTAACAGTGTTAATACAATTCTAATATATTTAAACGTGGGGTATTTTCCACTCAAAACACACTAAATTAGCAAAAATTTTCATTTCAGCTTCCAAAAATTACGGTTTTGAGAAAACTAGCGACATCAAAAACCACTTTAGAACTTTACCTATTCAGTTAATGAACATAAATGTATCGCCACTTTTTCAAATTACTACAGAAATAATAAATAAAATAGGTCTGAGGGTCCTCACCCTAAAAATTTTGAATAAAGTAGATGTGATTTCCTGCATTTTGGTGTATTTTAACGAGTTGTTAAACATCTACCTGCTTGTAATAGAAAATAATAATAATTTAAATATATATATATATTTAATTTAAATTAACTTGCTATTACTTACTTAAATTTTACTCCAAATCAGTGATTTAGAGTTGCCAATCAGCCTAAAATGTATGTTTTTGGTCTGTGGGAGAAAACCCACGCACGTTCCCTTCCAAATAATAAAATAAAAAATAAAGTGGATCAAATCGATCTTTATTGCCCTGAAGGTGCAGGTGCAGTGATCACTCAGTCATTCCACTGACTTTAATGTTAGATGGTAAAGTCGGCCCATTGACTAACGTTGATATGGGACTGTTTATTTATATTCATATTATTGTTGCTGTTGTGTTGCTGTTGGACATTTTGCACTACATATAATTATAATGAAATGTCAAAATGTCCATATTTGTTTTAGTTTCTTATATGTGACTTTCGTATTTGTTATATTTGGGGTTCTGTAATGTTCTTTGTACAGAATGGAAGGTTAAATAACTGTATAATAACTAAATGGACTTTACTTTAAGATGTATTTGCATTTCTTGCATTGTATTATTGCATTTTGCCCGAGTCCTATGATAGATTTTAAATTTGGTCCTCTCTGGGAAAAAGTTTGGGCTTTTGAGAGACTGTATCAGAAATACATTTTTAATGTTTTATTTTCTGTAAAAAAAAATGAATGCAATCAGAAGAAATAAAAATTTTTAATTTTATCATGAAAGTCAAATGTACCCTAGTTAAAATATTTTCAGTTTAGAATAAAACTTCTTAAACTTTTTGTGTATTTTTCCTGTTTGTCTAACGGGTGTTGCTTCAATAAACCACCTGTGGGTGTCACAGAACCTGAGGGTTCCTCCAGCCTGTTTCTGTTTACTCAAACTTTAAACTTTATTGTTTTATTATATGTGTGTTGATTGGAATAAATATATTTATTGTCAAATGCAACAAAAGAGACTAAAATATTTACAGTTGGTTTAGGTAAAGTCGATAAACTCACGATCTTTATTATCCTTCGAGAACCTTTTTATTACTTTGTTGTGTTTGTTAAGAGGTTTATGCAAATAAAAAAATTATCAAGGTCAATATTTTTTATTGTTTATTTTTAACACATGTGGAACATAACTGGGTGCTTTTCTGCAAAGAGTACAAAGTATAATTTTACAGAGAGAGCTGAAACATGCTTTTGAAATATGAAATATTTTTTATCTTTTTCATGCTTCCACACAGACGTGGAGTGGAGCTGTCATTTCTAACCCCTACTCGAAACCTGGCCTGGATTAGGGCCGATCCGGGCCGTTATAATGTGATTAATGTGCGGGCCGGGCTTTGATGCGGTTTTACGAATCATACAGCACAAATAAAACTAAGAATGCACGATGTAAAAATGTGTTAATCTACTTGTAGAGGAGGAGGCAGCAAGTTTATATGTTGAGAGGCTGAAGAAAGAAAGAAGAGTGCAGCAGTTACTCAGACTGTGGAAGAGGTCGCCGGCGCATTGCGCAATAATTGTGCACGTGGGCTCAGGCTTCTGCGGTTTTACGAATCATACAGCCCAAAGAAAACTAAATGTACAATATAAAATTGTGTTAAACTACTTGTTGAGGGGAAGGCAGGTCGGTCCGACCGGACGGTTTAAAAAAGTTGCATTAAGCTCAGATGGACACCGGTCACCGGCCGCGCGCATCCGCTGACTCGTCAGTTGAAATGGACTTCCAATATGTCCAGGGTGTACCCCACCTTTCACACAGTGACTGCTGGACATGGACACCAGTGACCCCCGCTACCTGAAAAGGAAGAAGCTGGTAAAAATAATGGATGGATGAATCAGCTGATCACCGGCTGTGTGCCTCTCCTCACCTGCTCTCATCTGCGGTGAAGGAAGTAGCAGCATCTACAAAAGCCGAAGTGAAAATCTGAAAATCTGATCCGACCCAGCCTCATCCCGCAGTCATAATCTCCGTACTCCACCCGACCAGATGAATTAATAGTAATTACAGTTTCGAAGCAAACCCGGGGGAAAAAATTTTTCATTTTTAATTAGTTATTAATGGTCGGGGATGCGCAGCTGAATAAAAGCAGCAGAAGATTCTGAGCTGATGCGGTGTTTGTCATTTCATGGCCGTAAAAAATAATTTAAACCCCGTTTCTGCCTGCAGTCTTCTGAATTAATGAGACATGTGGACAGCTCTGAGACATGTGTCTGCTTTGGGATCTCACCTGTTTGGGTCATCGGCCGCGTGCGTCCACTGAGTGCAGCGGCAGAATGAACGTCCATTTGGGCGATGGATCGCTGCCTGGCAGTACAGTCCCCTCAGGCTTAACTGAACTTTTACTTCTTTCAAGGTTGGTCAGCTGTGGTGAAATGGCCATGTGCTGCTGGTGGATGTATGGCAGGCCATGTTATCATATAATTGGATTGCGGCTGATCCTGACCTAACTAAAAGCCTGAGGCCGGCCCGGCCCAGCCCTAATCCAGGTCGGTCCGGGCTGGGTTCAGGTTAGAAATGACAGCTCTAATACAGATGCATATATTCTTTATTGTCATTCGCACATGTGGTGGAACAAAATTATGTACACAAGGTCCCAGTTACATCCAACAATATGTAAAAGAAAAACTAATAAAATACTGCATTTAAATACATTTAAAATAGCCTTGTTCTATATTTAAGATAATGGATGGATGGATCAATCAGCTGGTCACCGGCCGCGTGTCTCTGCACCTGCTCTCATCTGCAGTGAAGGAAGTAGCAGCATCTACAAAAGTCGAAGCGAGCAGCGCGTTCAATTAAAATAGCCTTGTTCTATATTTTTCCAAGTTATTTTGCTCTAAAAATAGTTTTGTTCATCTGTATAACAGCCTATCTTTCTTTAGAGTTGATTTTTTTTAGGTTATTCGTCATTAATATCCATTTGGTGGCTTGTTAATAAAAATAAATCTTATGTCTTCCTTCCATTACGTTTTTAAAACTATCATGTCAAACTGCTTACAAAAGCAGAAAAAACAATAAAAAAAAAAGTGGTTTTTTTTCGGGTTCGGCCCTCTAATTACCGGTAATCCGTTGGGTAAAACTCGGTAAAAAAAATCTACAGGCTCGGTCCGTGTTTATTAGGCTTGAATGCAACTCTACATTTGTGAGTATTTGTGTTTTAAATCCAGAAGATGACCGTCACGTGAGCTTTATCTTGTTTCCGTCAACTTTATTAAACCGTAAAAGTTGCGGATTTTTCTTTAAAGTTCAGAACATCTTCAAGAAAGTGGCGTCAAACTGGAGCTGAGTTCTGCTGAGCTCGTCACTGACGGAACAAAGACGAAGCAAAACGACAAATCTCAACCGAATTCTTCATGGTTTCTGGTAAAGTCTCTGCGTTCAGGAACACCCGAGGAGCAGGAGGAGACCTTGGAGGCTCTTCAGGTGAGCTGGAGGAGAAGCTGCTCCTCCATCAGCCTGGCCTTATAGAAGATCGACCAAATAACTCTTTAAATCAAGTCATGCGCAGGATTTTACACAGAAACCTGATCTGAAGACAAATCTCTGCTGCTTTGGAGTTAAAATATCTTGGAAAACCAGGACTCTTATGGTGGGACGCAACAGGAAGTCCACCAGTCTGCGCAGACTTTAATTTTCACGCTTCCATCAACGTTCTCTAAGATGTAGAAGGTTATTGTGACCTTTGAACTCTGTAGGCTCTTTCTTTTGTATTTTTGCACTTCAAGACTTGTTGGTGTAAGAAAAACCCAACATTCAGACAAACGGAACATCTGGTCTTTACCTTTTCATTGTATGCAGGATTTTACCACAACGACTGCTGCTACGGTTCCAGCCAATAAAACGGCTCCAACGACGAGGCCCAGAGCTGGAATCAAAGGAAACACCGACATGTAAACAAAGAATCCTAAACAGAACTGTTCATGTAGAATGAATCCAGTTTCACCCCAGTTTCTCTCTATCCTCAGAAAGACGTCTGTGATCATCGTCTCCTCTTCGTCACCGCTCTCACACGTGTAAACTCCCTGCTCGTCTGAAGATAAATCCAGTAACGTGAGGCTGCCGGACTCCGACACGCCCTTCACGTGTTTCCTCCACTCCTTTGACACTCGGAGCTCGGCGTCCATTCTGGTTCTGCTCAGGAGGATCCGGTTGTGGTTAAACCTCCAAACGAGGCTGGTGGTGGTCAGGTTGGAGGCCGAGCAGGGGATCGTTGCTTCAGTTCCCGACACACTCAGAAAAACTAATGGACGCAAAAATAGTTTCAAACACAGCTTTCTCCTAAGCTTTGAAATTAATAATAATAATAAAATGGATCATTTTATGAGTTTTGGCTGTTTAGACGGAATAAACTAAAAACATTTCAAACCTCATTCTGGCAGTTTAAATAACATACAATATAAAAGTTACTTTTTTGAATCTTTTTGACAACTTGTTTTAGAGAGCTAATATAAACTAGAAAGTTCTTGGAGAAACTTTTGACGGGGACTGCCACGTGGCGGCCATTATGAAATTTTGATTTGACAGCACTCGATTCTTTGCGGTTCGACTTTTGCGGCACGACACACGATTGGCTGATTGATGGAAGGCGACCAATCAGAGCTTTGTGCTCTGTACCCCGGGTGCTGATTGGCTGCCTGGTCTCGTTCACTGTGCTCTTTTGTGAAATGTATTTCAAACCCTACGATGCCACCCAAATGTTCTGCGTCTTCTAAGGTTTCAGGCATCGAACCCAAGCACCAGAGAAAGATGCTTACCATAAAAGAGAAGGTGGAGCTTCTTGACATGTTGAAGGAAGGGAGAACCTACGCGGCCATTTGCCGCCGTTATGGGATCAACACTAAGGACAGCCCGGGCCCCGTCTGGGGACCTCCAGCATCCATAAAGCCCTATTGCTATTCACCTATTGCAGGGATGCCTGGAACGTAACCCCTGCGATAAGTGAGGGACTATTGTACTTTGTGTTGAGGTTCGTGCTCGGCTACCACCATACCAAATTTCAGCTCAATATGCCAAAAAATATATATAAAAAAATTTGTTAGTAATTTTTTCTTTAAGATATTTGGTGGCCATCTTGGATTTTCAGTTTATGATGGGGAACATTCTCAGTTATCACCACACCAAATTTCAGCTTGACATGTGTAAAAATAGCCAAGTCAAAGCCATTTCATAGCTTTGGTGGCCATCTTGTAGTTTTTAATTTGAATTTAGTAATAACTGGACATTGCGCTCAGCTACCACCACACCAAATTTCAGCTTAATATCTTTAAAAATGGCTGATTTATAGTATTCTTCCGTTTTAGCTCAGGCGGCCATCTTGGATTTTTGATTGGAAACCAGAGTTTGTTAGGGATTGTTCTCAGCTACCGGTACACCACATTTCAGCTGAATAGCTCTGAAAACCTCTGAGTTATAGCCATTTGAAATTAGCTTGGGCGGCCATCTTGCATTAGGCAGTCCCCATTCATAAAATCTGATAGTTCAATTTTGGTGAACTCAAACCTGTCGTGTACATTTATCATTTTCACTTTACTCTTTAGTTTGTCTGAATAATAAAGGAATATATTCTACCTCAAAGGGCACTTTTCTGTCCACAAACGGCACAAGTAGCTTCAACTGCTGTGTCCACGGTCGAGTCCATATTTTTGCTTTGGTGTGTAATTTTCACCACTTTCAGTTCTTCGTGTCCCACTCTGTTCTCACTGTTGGTTTATATCAGGGGTTCTCAAACTTTTTGGGTTCAGGGACCCCTTACAGGGAAGAAAAAGTTTAAGGGGCCCCCCTCATAACTCTCATGTTTATGTATACACACACACACACACACACATATATATATATATATATATATATATATATATATATATATATATACAGTAGTCCCTTGTTTATCTTGGGGGGTTCAGTACCCTGTCCCACTACGATAAGTTAAAAACAGTGAAGTAGGGATAGTCCAAGTTCAAGTACAGTAAACTTTAGTATGACATGTGTCAGGCTGTAATCACACTCATCACCTGTTACTCCCAATCTCCCTCCTTGTGTAAATTAACAATTTAAATTTAAATACTGTAATATTTTAAATAAACAATCCATTGTTTATTTAAAATATTACAGTATTTAAATTTAAATGGTAGAGAAGAGAAGTGCAGCAGGACATCAAAGCAGCTTCATGCAGCACGGAGCAGAAATGTTCTTCTTGATCAATGACACTGTAACAACTGTTAGAAGAGTTATAGAAGTTATATCAGGGCTGTTCAACAAAACCGCTCAGGGGGGCCACAGTTTCTCGGGGGCCGGACATCCAGCAATTAAAGTCATTATGTAAATAAACCAAGTTTTATAATGATCTGTTACCTTTTAAACTTGTTTATATTTTTGCATTGAATCATAAATGCAATAAACAAAACCCAAACTCAGAACCCCTCCAAATATATATATATATATATATATATATATATATATATATATATATATATAATTTATTTATTTATTTATTTTTTTTTTTTGTGAAGTGGGCCGGATTGAAGTCACCCACGGGCCAGAAATGGCCTCAGGGTCCACCACTTGAGTAGCCCTGAGTTATAAGTTATAGAAGTTCTAAAATATTTAAAAATAACTTTTAACACTTTTATAGTTTGTGATTATGACGATTTTACAATGTAACATACTTAGAATTTTGAAGTTGGAGGACAAAAGTCAATCTGTGCAGCAAAGGGTTAACCCCTTCACAACGCTGCTTCAGCACGGAGCAGAAACGCAGGAGGGAGCTTCTCCCTGCACATGTGGGCTGCACACAGGTGCAAAATCATTGACAATAATTAATTTTAAATAAACAATCCATGGCTCGTCCATTACTCAGCCAATGGCATCATGTCCAATCTTACTTTGAAAAACCGTTAAAGAGTGAATACGGAAAAAACGAACCGCTAAGTAGTGAGGGACCACTGCATATATATATAAATATATATATATTTATTTTTTTTGCAGACCCCCAAGCACCGACTCGCGGACCCCCATGGGTCCGGGAACCCCAGTTTGAGAACCACTGGTCTATATCACGCTCCCTCTCTTTCAACTTCCCACCAAGGCTTCACGCCCGATCCAATCTGTGCAGTCTTATAAACATGACCATAGAGTCATGCTTATTACATGCTTATTACACGTGCATGAATGCAACAGCAACAACAAAAAACAAAACATGGCAGTGCAACTCTACAGCCTGTAAAGCTGACAGAACTGGGGATTATGTTAACGTAGAAATCCAAATCAATATTTTTCGTGGATTTACAACTCAACGTGATAAAATGGAAAACGGAACAGAATTGATGATAATACAAAGGAAACGTGCTTGAAAATTACTCTAGTGATGTCATGTGTTCTTACAATACTTACCTGGTCTGAACAAAGTGACCTTCCTCTTGGTTGTGCCCGTCCTGACGGTGCAGCTGTAGACCAGATCAGAACCTGCAGCTGAAACCTCCAGGCAGCTGCTGATGCTGTACAGCTGCTCGTCAGTCTGCAGGACTGTGATTGTGTTCTCCAGGGCCGTGCTGGACGATAACTTGATGGACCAGGTGATCTCAGGTGCAGGGTAGACGCCCTCCGAGCTGCAGATAATCCTGTTTTCCACCCGTTTAATATTTACTTTAGTAACAGGAGCTAAAAAACAAAACGTATATTTGAAACACTTTCTAAATGCAGTGAGAGCGAAGTGTATTTTATGTTATACCTTCCACTGTGAGGTGGATGATTGAATGGTTCTTTATGCTGAAACACTCGTATTGACCCTGATCCTGAACCGTCACGCCTCTCAGCAGCAGGGAGCCGTTTCCTCTGGAGATCTGATCCTGGAACAGGGACGTTCTGCCTCTGAAGCGCTGGTCCTGGACTTTAAGCTGCTCTTTATTGCTGTAAAATGAGTAGACGTGAACGGTTCTGATGGCTGTCAGCTGGTTCCAGTGGACGATGCGCTCGCCGCCGCCCTGGAAGCTGCACGGTAAAACGCAGCTCTGCTTGAAAACACAGATCACCTCCGTGTCTGAAACGTCAAATTAAAAGTCAAGCACTAGTTCATACGAGAAACGTGAATATCCATATGCCTCTAGGTCAGGGGTCTGCGATCCTTACGATGAAAAGATCAATTTCTGCCTCTTGGTTCATTAAATTTAACGTGTCCGGAGCTGCAAAAGCCTTTTTTTTTTTTGCAAATGTCAGCTTTTTTCAGATTTTGCCACTTTTTTGTCTTCATTTCTGCTTCTTTCAGCATTAATGGGCAACTGTGTTCTTTCTGTTTTCTTCTGCTAATTTAAGCTTTTCTACCTTTTCAGCATTTTCTAGCTAATTTCGGCTGTTTTCAGATAAATTCAAGTTTTTTTGTTGTCATTTCTGCTACTTTCAGACTAATTAACTTCTTTCTGCATTCTTCAGCTTGTTATGCTCCTTTCAGCTTTTTTTCCTGCTAGTTTCAACTTTCT